CACGGAGCCGGCCCTATAATTTTATTTTATTTATTTTTCCCCCAAAGCCCCAGTAGATAGTTGTATGTCATAGCTGCACATCCTTCTAGCTGCTGTATGTGGGACGCGGCCTCAGCATGGCCAGAGAAGCAGTGCATTGGTGCGCGCCCGGGATCCGAACCCAGGCCGCCAGCAGTGAAGCACGCGCACTTAACCACTAAGCCACGGGGCCAGCCCTCATTGGCATCTTTAAATTTTTTTTTTTTTTCCAAGGAAGATCAGCCCTGAGCTAACATCCATGCCAATCCTCCTCTTTTTGCCGAGGAAGACCGGCTCTGAGCTAACATCTATTGCCAGTCCTCCTCCTTTTTTCCCCCCAAAGCCCCAGCAGATAGTTGTATGTCATAGTTGCACATCCTTCTAGTTGCTGTATGTGGGACGCCACCGCCTCAGCATGGCCGGAGAAGCGGTGCGTGGGTGCCCGCCCCGGATCCGAACCGGGCCGCCACTAGCGGAGCGCGTGCACTTAACCGCTACGCCAGGGGGCCGGCCCCTGGCGTCTTTCAATTTATACAGGAAAAACAACCTATCTTAGTGTGTAAAAAGGTTGATTACACAAGCATTTTAAGTTCTCTTTCTTTGATGACTTTTTGACTTGAGAACACACATTCATAATTTTTTATTTTTATGTGAATTCTTAATATATGTAATAATATATTATCATTGTAGAGAAAAGAAGAAATTTAGTAGCCACCAACTGAAGATGTGAGCTATTGATTAAAATGATGTAATAATTTTTCAAGGAAGTAGAGATGAACTTTGAAGTTTATGCATGCCTTTTTTTCATTTTACCATTATTAAATATCATCCATGTAGTGTTGGCAAAATGTGTTATAGATTAGTTTTATTTAATATTTTGAGGTGTCATTTTTCCTGGAACAGTGCTTTGATAAACCGAGGGTGTCGTGGAAGACTTTTAAGTTGTGTTTTTATTGTGGAAATGTTTGTATGAGTCAGGTGAATTTTGACTTTGCCTGACAGATGTGATGACTTGTCCTTTTTGGCTTGTGTTATATCTACTCATCGGTTATATAACAGATGACTGTTTATAAAATAAGGATTAAAACAAGCCATTAGAGATAATTAATAATGGATACAAACAAGTGGTGATATGTCTGCTACAAGAGACGGAATAACACAGTTCTTACATATAACATATTAAAAGTAAAAAAGAGTATAGTAGTTAGGCATTAGGAAACAAAGAATAGGGAAGAAAATATTTCTGAGAGTCAAGGAGCTTTGCTAGGAGTATAGCCCAAGTAATGTAGGAGTGGAAAACCAGCTAAGATCAGAGGCCAAGAGAGCATATCTGCTTAGTATTACTCAGTGATAGAAGAGTGAAATTAGAAGCAAAATAAAGTGCCCTAGAGAGAAGAACCTGTCTGAGCAAGTGTTGGATGTAGCTAATGGGCCAGAGGCATCCAGAATTGAAGGATTTTAAAATGAAACCTATTTCTGGCCCTAGGCAAGCCTGAATTAGGATCTATTTTATGTACCTGTAAGTGCCTTCCATTCTAGTGAAGGCTTTTTGGTTATGAGGAACAGAGTCCAAGGGCGCCTGGCTCAGTTAAGGGGGGCTGATTAGAAGGAAACACCTGCCTGCTTAGGAAGCCAGGAACCAAAGAACCCTATGGGTAGAGTAATGTCTTCAAAATGTCTATTACACTATTTAGAGGTAGTTTTAGCTCTTAAATAGAGCCTGAATGTGGTATTGTCAGCAGTTGATCACTGCATGGGAAATACTGTATAGTACTGTCTGTATTCCCAAGAAGGCCTTAATTTAATGATACCCATTGCTGTGTTAAGGGGAACAGCTGCAGGTCTGATGTCTTACAAGTCTTTAACGGTAATAATTCAGAGCTTGACTGTTTCAGTAAGGAAATATGGTCTATGTGACTACCAATTCTAGCATACTGTTAGACTTGGGAGGCTGTAAGGATCTGTATCTTCCTGTATATGGCTGAAATTAAAAGGCAAATTCAGGTGAAATCAGAGAGGGTATTTGGTGTCTTTTCTTTAAACTAAATTCCTGAGGATCTAGGTGGGTATAACCTAAATAGCAACAAGCCCAAATTATCTTCTTTTGTGTAGTCAGCAGATTAAGAATTAGGTTTTTCAGGGCCGGCCCCGTGGCTTAGCGGTTGAGTGCTCGCGCTCCGATGCTGGCGGCCTGGGTTTGGATCCCGGGCGCGCACCGACGCACCGCTTCTCCGGCCATGCTGAGGCCGCGTCCCACATACAGCAACTAGAAGGATGTGCAACTATGACATACAACTATCTACTGGGGCTTTGGGGGAACAATAAATAAAAAAATATAAAAAAAAAAAAAAAAAGAATTAGGTTTTTCAAAAGGCCAATGTATAGATTAACCCACAGAAAGAGTGAATAATTGTATGGTTGAGAGACTGTGAGAAACACATACAAAAATGATCCCCTAAAGATTCTTCTGTTTCATTTTTTTCAGTGATGCCATCTGCAATTTTGCTATCTGCAATGACTCGTCCCTTCGAGGTCAGCCCATTATCTTCAATCCTGACTTTTTCGTGGAGAAACTCCGACATGAGAAACCTGAGGTGTTCACCGAGTTGGTGGTCAGCAATATCACAAGGCTCATTGATTTACCTGGAACTGAGTTGGCTCAGCTCATGGGAGAAATGGACCTTAAGTTGCCTGGTGGGGCCGGCCCAGCATCAGGATTCTTCCGGTCTCTAATGTCTCATAAGCGAAAGGGTAGGAGATGTGCCTGTGAAGCATGGGCTGCTTCCTGGGTTTCACTATTGACATCTGCACGTTCATTGAGGAGTTGCTATTACTGTAAAGCATTTTTTTTTTTTTTGTGAAGAAGATCGGCCCTGAGCTAACATCTGCCAATCCTCCTCTTTTTGCTGAGGAAGACTGGCCATGGGCTAACATCCATGCCTATCTTCCTCCACTTGACATGGGACGCCGCCACAGCATGGCTTGACAAGCGGTGCGTCGGTGTGCGCCCAGGATCCGAACCGGCAAACCCCGGGCCGCCGCAGCGGAGCACGCGCACTTAACCGCTTGCGCCACCGGGCCAGCCCCCGGAAAGCATTTTTTGTCACTTTATTAAGTAGTAAAACCTTAAGTAATATTAATAAAAATTATAAAAACAGGCTATTAAACTAAAGCAAAGATATCAGTCCCTGAGAGTTGACATCATTAGTTTAGGTAGTTATCAGGGACAGCTTGATTTTCATGCCCTATTAATATTGTACTAAAATAATATTAAAAAAAACAAAGTTTCACAGCTGGAGAGTACAATAAAGAAAGTTTGAACATTTTTTATTGCAGTAGTTCTCAAATGTTTTCATTCCATAGAATGCTTTGATGAGGCAGATACCTATGAATCACCCAAAAAAAGCCTTCCCAGAAAATAAATTCTAGCACTACTGTTGATAAGATATTAAAGAGGTACAATTTTATTTTATTAAATATAGGTAAATCATTATGGTAGCAAAAAAATTTGAACATTGTAACAGATCAGACCGAGTACCAGCCCTAGTGGATAGTTTGTCATCCCTTGACTGTCCTGGCTCTAAGTTCTGGTTTTTGTTTGTTTTTAAATAAAATATCAACGTTCTAGATATTGTTACTTAAATAAGAAGATGGTCTTTGCCTTCAAGGAAGCTACAGTCTAATATTAAACTTGCGGGGAGTTGATTGAGAGTTGTTCTGATTGCATTTTCTGGTGCACTTCCAGCTCTAAGGTTTTTGTTTACTGACTCTGTGAAAACATTTGCTGAACTGTAACATAGGATGCTTGAGGGGTTTTCAGTGTGCTGATTTTGTACTATTTGTGGAAGATATAGCCTTGTCCTATCGTATGTTTTTTTTAGAAAAAGGAGTGGTATTTGGATCCCCACTGACGGAGGAAGGCATTGCCCAGATATACCAACTGATTGAATATCTACACAAAAGTAAGACCACTCGAAATGTTGTTGTACTTTGTTAATGAATTGGCAGTTTTCTATTGAGAGCTAACATCCTTGAATTAGTAGATGCCAAATAACCATCACCAAAGACACTAATCAGCGGTAATTTCAGGTGGCATGTTCTAAATATATTTCCTTTTAAATTTTATCTCGTGTATTGATTTGTTTTGTACTCTCAAAGATGTATATACATTATAGTGACTATGAAATCACATATTTCCCTCAACTCAGAGAGACATTTTTTCTGGAAAAATACATTGTCCCTAAAGAATCATAATATTTACTCAAGGAAGCATAATTTATCACCAAAGATATTTTTCATCTCTAGAATTCTATGATTAAAATACACTCTTCACTTAATTCCTATTTCATTTTTTAGTAGTCATCGTGGTTATGTCATTGCTCTAAGTGCTTGGCACAGCTGAGTGTATGTGAAATGTGTGGCTTTATGTAATGCCTTGATAAATTCAACACTAACACTTATTTATGACTTACTCTACGTGGGACATTGTGCTAGGAGCTAGAGCAGAGGTTGCAAACTGATGGCTTAAAGGCTTAAGTCATCTACATTCATGTTTTTGTTTGGTTGGCAAAGGATTAAATTAAAAATAAAATTAGTTATCAATGTTGTAAAATGGAGAAAGTCCAGGTTTTCCACTTCTCTGGATCATAGGAAGATTTAGCATCCTTGGGCCCTGTTGCTACTTGGACACAGTCAGCTAGAGCACGGGTGTGTGCTCTCTAGTTTGTGATGGTTGCCATTCGTTCATTTACTATTACCTGCCTGGCCCTGTAGGTGTTTGAACTTGGATTCCTTAGGGGGCTATACAAAGATAAATATATGTCTAAGCTGAAGCGTGAACTCTCACAGTTCTTCCCGAGCAAACCAAAGCTATATGTCCCATCTTTTTTATCCCCTTAGGTTAGCTTAGAACCTAGTTGGGAGGGAAGTTTAGTTGGGATGACCCTAAGCTTCTGGGCATCTCTTAGACTGAAAGGTGATCTGACAGGTTAGAGTTCTAATTCCTGGGGCAACGTAGAGACTCTAGATTCATTTTGGGCTGGGAAACTGTTTACAGGAGCAACGAACCTCCGCAGATGCACTTAGCCCCCACCACACAAAGTGTGGGATGACCAAAGGAAATGGGTCTTCTGGGAGATTTGGCTTTTCTTCCAACTTGTTTTTCAAGCTCATTTCAACCATTGTTTAGGTTAGATTCAGTCTCCAGATGTGGCTCTGGAGGTTGAATGACCCTTGGGTGGACCATCTCTTAGTCAGGGATGTTCAGATATGTCTCCTCAGAGGCCAGCAGGTTCTAACTTACTCTGGGATAAAAGGCAAAAACGTTCTTCAAGGTGTTTGTAAAGGATTTTCAAGTGTAAAGTAATCTTTTGTAGACTTAAATTATAATGTCTCTTTCTGCTTCCTTTTTGCATGTCCTCTGTTTTTCTTCCATGCTAAACAGACTTGCGAGTAGAGGGTTTGTTTAGAGTACCAGGGAATAGTGTCCGACAGCAGATTTTAAGGGATGCTCTCAATAATGGAACTGATATTGACTTGGAATCAGGGGAGTTTCACTCAAATGATGTTGCCACCTTGCTGAAGATGTTTCTAGGAGAGTTACCTGAGCCCCTGCTGACACATAAACATTTCCATGCACACCTCAAGATTGCTGGTGAGTATAGGAGGTTAGAAGGAGATGGGAATACATTTCTTTCAATTTATTAAAGTCATTTGGAATTTTCTGTTGTTTGTAACCCACAGCAATACTTCTACTAATATTGGTTAAGACTTCATGATATTTCTAGGCTCTCTGGGTACTCATAAGTATTGGCCAGTTAAGTTGGATTTAATCAGATGTTTTTCTTGCCGAATACAGTTCTTTAAAGATAAAGTCTGGGTTTTATTTATTTTTATATTCCTGATGGAAGCTAGCATGTGCTTTGAACATTTTAGTTGCTCAATAAATATATGCTTTTCAGTGGATTGATTCACATACCTGAAATGGTTACGGGTTTGGTATATTTGCCCTGGTTTGGGGCTTTTGCTAAGTATTATTATGCCTCAATTGAGATCATCTCTACCCTTGGAAGTTTGTTTTTTAAAAAGAATTTTATTTGTTTTCTAAATAGGCAATACATTCACATGGATCAAAATTCAAAAGGTTCGAAAGAGTATACAGTGAAAAGCCTCTCTTCCACCCCTGTTTCCAAGCACTCAGTTTTTCTTCCTAGAGGCAACCAATGCTATTGATTTCTAATATATCCTTCCAGAGAATTTTATACACTTAAAAACACTTGCATATATTCCTTTTCTCTCTTTTTATGTAATGGTAGGGTATTATATACATGGTTCTGTGGTTTGCTTTTTTCACTTAGTGTGTCTTGGAGAATGTTCCATTTTCAGCTCATAAATAGTTTCCTCATTCTCCTTTATGCCTGTGTGGTAGGGAATTCATTCTTAAATTGCACAGCTGTTCTACTGCTCTAGGCTCTAAGTGCACACGGCGTCAAAATCCATACTGCATTTACTTAGTTTTCTGCCCTTGAGCATTTTCCTCTTCTCATTTTAAGGAAACTAAATATAAGATTTTTTTCTTTTAAATAATTTTTACTACTTAAAAAAAAAAACCTACTTTTGAATTTCTAAAATCTAATAAGATTAGATTATTTTTTAGCACTTTTGGTAACAATCCAGATGATACAAATGAGTAAATATTGGTAGAATGTTATATAACTTTACAGTTATTTTGGAGAGAAATAAAGTTGTTGAATCTTTGAAAAAGATATGGAAAATACTGATAAGTTCTTTTTTATAAGAGTTAACATGAAGAATGCATGCTCTGTTTGCTTTCCTGTTGAGTTAATTTAGTGCAGTGTTTGAAATCCTGCCCTCCAGGACTCTGTGATTCACTGTTCTTTGAGGTCATATTGAGGTGTGGCACAGCTGTAGTGTTTGATATGCCCTGCTGATAACTGGAAGGGAGTTTTGTTTTCAATTTCATATTGACAGGGAATATTTTCTAGAAATATTACCTCCTTTCCTTAAGCTGGAATTATGACTAAAGTTAAACAGCTTAAACAACACACTGTAATCATTTTCAGGTCTATATGAATTATATCCAAATGGTTATCAGTGTCTTTTGAAATTCTTATTATCCACGGGATTGTTTTTATTGATAACCTGTATAGCCTGTTAGGGGAGAGACTGATTCTGACTCCATGAGGAGCTACCTGGATTATCCTGTTATCAGGGCATAATTCACTTTCATATTTCTTTTAGCAGTAAAATATCTGGGTGAGGAAAAGTGAAGGGAGTGGCATTATTAAAGATGTGTGTGGACATGTTTTCATTTCTCTTGGGTATATACCTAGGAATGGAATTCCTGGGTCATATGATAATTCTTATGTTTTAACTTTTTGAGGACTGGCAAACTGTTTTCCAAAGTGGTTTTGCGCCATTTTACTTTCCCACCAGCAATGTAGGAGGGTTTAATTTTCTCAGCGTTCTTGCCAACACTTGTTATTGTCAGTCTTTTTGATTATAGCCATGCTAGTGATTATGAAGTAGTATCTCATTGTGATTTTGATTTGCATTTCCCTGATAGCTAGTGATACTGAGTATACAAATGATTATTGGCCAGTCATATATCTTCTTTGGAGAAATGTTTATTCAAGTCTTTTGCCCATCTTTTGATTGGGTTTTTGTATTCTTTTTTTTTTTTTGTGAGGAAGATCAGCCCTGAGCTAACATCTGCCAATCCTCCTCTTTTTTTTCTTGGTTGAGGAAGACTGGCCCTGGGCTAACATCCGTGCCCATCTTCTCCACTTTATATGGGACGCCGCTGCAGCATGGCTTGCCAAACAGTGCGTTGGTGCGCGCCCGGGATCCCAATCGGCGAACCCCGGGCCACCGCAGTGGGGCGCGCGCACTTAACCACTTGTGCCACCGCTGGCCCCAGGTTTTTGTCTATTATTGAATTATATTGGTATTATTTTGTTTTGTATTTTGCTGTAAGCTCTGTTTATGCCTGATTCTTTTTTTTCTTTCTTTGATGGGAGTTGTGGGGAGGATAATAGTAGGAGTATTGATTTTTCTTGCTTATATTTTCTTTCTCCTTTGCAATCATCTCTTTGGTCCTCAAGATTTGATGCAGTTTGATGATAAAGGAAACAAAACCAATGTACCGGATAAGGAGCGGCAAATTGAGGCTCTTCAGTTACTCTTCCTCATTCTTCCTCCACCCAATCGTAACTTGCTGAAATTATTGCTTGATCTCCTGTACCAGACAGCAAAGAAACAAGATAAGAATAAGATGTCTGCCTATAACCTTGCCCTTATGTTTGCGCCCCATGTCCTGTGGCCAAAAAATGTGAGTGTTGAGGGGAAGAGCAAAGACTGCTTGGTTTTCTTGGGCTGGGCCTCATCCTATGGCTGTACCTTGGTGAGGTTATCAAGGGTCCAAGGTCTAGTCGTCAGCTTTACAAGGTTAGGAACTTACTTTATTAGTTCATTTAAGAGTCATCAAACCTGGGAGGGCCGATTCCTGTTAACTTCGCTTAGAAATCAGTCTCTGATAAACCTGAGTGGCAATTTATTAGTGGAAACTCTTAGTGGAAAATTATGGCTACTAAATAAACTAGAGTACTCATTTTGGCTGATCAGTGTGAATTCCTTCTTAACACTAAAGCCTTCTCGGGAAATCAAATTGATTTCTGAAGATTGCATGGTATAAATTTAGACTAGAGCTGTATGAGCTTACAGGATAATGTCACTAAGCTTTTAGATGAAATGACGCATAGAGCAATCCTGCCTTGTCCTAACTTTTCTATTACCTCTAGATAGTCTCTCCTTGGATAAAGCTTATTACTGAAACCATGGCCTTCTCAGTAACTTACATGAGAAATAAATTATCTAAAGTATTTTGAACTAATTCTTGACTTGGAGGCACATAGCTTCATATTCCTGTTCATTCATAATATAGATTTTACTGAATGATGGATTTGGGAGCCACGATACCTGAGTTGGAAGCTGCAAACCCGCTGTTACCTGTGTCCTTTACCCCTTCTATGCTTAGGCTTCTCCTCTGTAAAGTAGGCAATAATAGCACCTTTCCCACTTACCTGACAAGGTTGTTGGGAAGATAATAGAAATAGATAGGATATGGTACCTTATAAAAAATTTGGGGGATTATAAGAAATGAGAGGGCCGGCCCCGTGGCTTAGCGGTTAAGTGTGCGAGCTCCGCTGCTGGCGGCCCCGGTTCGGATCCCGGGCGCGCACCGACGCACCGCTTCTCTGGCCATGCTGAGGCCGCGTCCCACATACAGCAACTAGAAGGATGTGCAGCTATGATGTACAACTGTCTACTGGGGCTTTGGGGAAAAAAAACTAAATAAAATTAAAAAAAAAAAAAAGAAATGAGAAAAGAAAGGTAAAGGAGAGAGATTTTTGTGGAACATTTTACCTCACAAGTAACTAGTGAAAAAATAGTATAAAAATCTGGGCCAAGAAGAGCCTCTGCCCAGAGAAAGGTTGGCGGGGGCTGGGGGGTGAGGGGTGGGGTGAGAAGAAAAGGACACAGCAACATTTGTCCATATTAAGGAGATTAAGCCTCATAATGAAAGCATTTTAGAATCAGCTGAGACTGAAAAAGGAGAGAGTAGTCTGTGCCTATAAAGGGAAGTATTTAAGAGGTCTTGGTAAAAGCAAACATTAGGTAACAGGTACATGTTGAGGATGAGGGCTTTGGGTTAGTAGAGATGCTGAAGAGGCAGGAGAAACAAGAGAAGGGAATCAATGACCTTGACTGTGTTTTTAAGAAACAGATGTTGGGGGCCAGCCCGGTGTGTAGTGGTTAAGTTTGCGTGCTCCACTTTGGTTGCCCCGGGTTCTCGGGTTTGGATCCTGGGTGTGGACCTACGCATTGCTCATCCAGCCATGCTGTGTCAGTGTCCCATATATAAAGCAGAGGAAGATGGGCACAGATGTTAGCTCAGGGCCAATCTTCCTCAGCAAAAAGAGGAAGATTGGCAACGGATGTTGGCTCATGGCCAATCTCCCTCACCAAAAAAAAAAGAAACACATCACCTTTGGTATCAGTTGGTAGTGGCAGTTTTCTTTCGTCTTTGGAGAAGCTCTAGTTTCTCTGAAGAGGCAGTGTCCTTGGTGGTTGGTACAGATTCTGTTCTTCCTGCCCCTTTTCCCAAACTAGATCTTCTTTAGCAACTCTGCTTGCATGTCTAACTCACAAGCAGAATTAGGAAATGAAGCTTGGTTTTCAGGGATTTCACTTCAGGGACTCGTGGTTCTTCCTAGATTATATCATATCCAGTGGAAACCTGCTGAACCAAAAAGCCTTTCCAGAATTAAACATTGTATTAGAGTCACCTTTGTTAGGGATAGAAGCTATCATACATTTGGAAGAATAAACTTATTGGTAAATAAGTGAAGTATCTGCCTTCTACTTCCCAACTGTTAATCCCCATTTTTTGGTTTCTTTTCCTCTGAATAGGTCACTGCAAATGACCTTCAAGAGAATATCACAAAATTAAACAATGGGATGGCTTTTATGATTAAACACTCCCAGAAACTTTTTAAGGTAGGTAACGGATGGGATCTGGGTGACAAGAGGATAAGGAGGATGGAACAAGGTGGGATCCTCACTATAGAGATGACTAGATAAGAAAGGCCCCGACTGGGACTGGAAACCAGATTGGACAGCGGCAAAAGGCAGAAGAAACAACCAAAGTGGGGAGAAATAAGAAGGTACTTGGAGGCCGAGTAGGGCTCTGCCTTCTGGGTAATTGGCTCCACCCTCTGAGTCATCCTGCCTTTTTCATGAAAGGCACCGTGTGTTGGCAGCTGAGTAGTTTTATCTTGCCTGCTTCCTGCCAGTAGAATTTTGAGGGTCTGACAGCCTCCTTTATTTTGTACTCTTTATCCCTGTTAGTCCAAACTAGCAGTGTTTCTGCCAACATAATTTTCTCAAGAACTTTGTGGGTCTTCTGTGGGTTTCAGTCTGTTAGATAAAAGCCACATATACACATCTTTTCAGGATAAACTCTTCCCTACCTTGGTCTCCTGCTGAGAACGCTGAGGGACAATAGCTTTAAGCTTCCTAGCAGCCCTCTGGTTTGATTGAGGGGATCTGCGAGGCACTCTTTTGCTCTCTTGAAAGGGCCCTTTGTGTGACTGAATATTCTGACCTTTTGATATTTCTTAAGATTTTAGCACAAGGTTACACAGCCACATCCTTGTCCTTTTCTTTAGAGCACACTTTCCTGATAGCGAATTTCTTAATTTTAGCATCTTTGCCATCTGAAAAGGCTTAGAATTTTTAAGACCATCCAGTTCTGGTTACTTTTTTTTTTTTTTCTTTCTTCAATTGTTTTTTTTATTGTAAAATACACATGACAAAATTTACCATCTTAACTATTTTTAAGTGTTTGGTGGCATGCATTACATTCATGTTATTGTGTAACGATCACTACCATCCATCTCCAGAACTCTTTTCATTTTGCAAAATTGAAACTCTATACCCGTTAAACAATAACTCCCTATTCCTCTCTTCCCCCTTTGCCCTGGCAAACCACCATTCTGCTTTCTGTCTCTATGATTTTTGACTATTCTAGGTACCTCATATAAGTGGAATCATAAAGAATTTGTCTTTTTGTGATTAGCTTATTTCACTTAGCATAATATTTTCAGGGTTCGTCCATGTTGTAGCATATGTCAGAATTTCCTTCCTTTTTAAGGTTAAATGACATTCCGTTCTATGTGTATACCACATTTTGCTTATCAATTTGTCTGTCAAGGACCCTTGGGTTGCTTTCACATTTTAGCTCTTGTGAATAATGCTGCTATGAACGTGGGTGTACAAATATCTCTTTGAGACTCTCCTTCAGTTCTTTTGGGTATATACCCAGAAATGGAAGTGCTGGATCACATGGCAGTTCTATTTTTAATTTCTGAGAAACTGCCGTGCTGTTTTCCATAGTTGCTGTACCCTCTTACATTCCCACCAGCAGTGCACATGGGTTCCCATTTCTTCACATTCTTGCCAACATTTGTTATTTTGTTTTCGAGGGTTTTTTTTTTGGTAATAGCTATGCTAATGGGTGTCAGATGGTATCTCATTATAGTTTTGATTTGCATTTTCCTAATGATTAGTGATGTTGAATATCTTTTCATGTGCTTACTGCCTGTTTGCATATCTTCTTTGGAGAAATGTCTGTTCAAGTTATCTGCTCATTTTTGAATTGGGTTGTTTTTTTGTTGTTGAGTTGTGGGAGTTCTTTATATATTCTCTGGATATTAATCCCTCATCAGGTATGTGATGTGCAAATATTTCCTCCCATTCTGTGGGTTGCCTTTTTACTCTGTTAATAGTGTCTTGATGCACAAAATTTAAAAATTTTCATGAAGTCCCATTTGCCTGTTTTTCCTTTTGGTGCCTGTGCCTTTGGTGTCATATGCAAGAAATCATTGCCAAATCAAATTGTGACACTTTTGCTCTATGCTTTCTTCTAAGAGATTTATAGTTTTAGGTCTTACATTTAGGTCATGAATCCATTTTGAGTTAATTTTTGTATGTGGTGTTAGGTAAAGGTCCAACTTCATTCTTTTGCATGTGGATATCCAGTTTAACCAGCACCATTTGTTGAAAAGACTGTCATTTCCCCATTGTATAGTCTTGGAACCCTTGTCAAAAACCATTTGGCCATATATTCGAGGGTTTATTTTTGGACTCTCTATTCTGTTCCGTTGGTCTATATGTTTGTCTTTATGCAGTACCACACTCTTTTGATTACCCTAGCTTTGTAGTAAGTTTTGAAATCAGGAAATGTGGGGCCTCCAGCTTTGTTCTTCTTTTTCAAGATTGTTTGGCTATTCGGGGCTTCTTGAGATTCCATATGAATTTTAGGTTGGATTTTTCTATTTCTTCAAAAACTGCCATTGGGGGGCCGGCCCGGTGGCGCAAGCGGTTAAGTGCGTGCACTCCACTGCGGCGGCCTGGGGTTCGCCGGTTCGGATCCCAGGCGCGCACCGATGCACTGCTTGTCAAGCCATGCTGTGGCAGCGTCCCACATAAAGTAGAGGAAGATGGGCATGGATGTTAGCCCAGGGCCAGTCTTCCTCGGCAAAAAGAGGAGGATTGGCAGATATTAGCTCAGGGCCGATCTTCCTCAAAAAAAAAAAAAAACTGCCATTGGGATTTTGATAGAGATTGCATTGAATCTGTAGATTATATTGGATAGTATTGACATCTTAACAATATTAAGTCTTCCAACCATACACATGGGATGTCTTTCCATTTATTTAGGTCTTTAATTTCTTTCAGCCATGTTTTGTGGTTTTTGTTGTACAAGTCTTTCACCTTTCACAGTTAATTCCTAAGTATTTTATTCTTTTTGATGCTATTGTAAGTGGAATTGTTTTCTTAGTTTCCTTTTTGAGTTGTTCATTGTTAGTGTATAGAAATACAACTGATTTTTGTGTGTTGACTTTGTATCCTGCTATTTTGCTGAATTCATTTATCAGTTCTAACAATTTTTCTGTGAAATCTTTAGGGCTTTCCACCTACAAGATCATATCATCTGTGAACAGAGATAATTTTACTTCTTCCTTTCCAATTTGGATGTTTTTTATTGCTTTTTCTTGCCTAGTTGCTCTGGCTAGTTGTGGTTCTTTTTTATTTAAGTTTTTCCCTCAATTTGTCTCTTCTCTCACATCATAGCAGCTTGATTCTTTAGTATGTGCTAACAAGATGAAGATAAAGCCATGTATATATGTGTGTATAATAATATGTTTGTGTGTATATACATGTATATATATACATACACACACATATACGTATAATATGGATATATATAAATCATAACCTAATCACCATTGTGTCATCCCATCACCTTAGCCGTGTAAAGTAACCTAATCATTACAAGAGCGACATTTAATCACCAATATTCTATTGGTTAGAAGCAAATCCCAAGTCCCACCCACACTCAAGAAGATGGGATTATTCAGGGTGTGAACATGGAGGCCACCCTAGGATTTATCCACCATAGGATGGTAAGTGCTCCAGAGTCCACAGTTTAGAAATTTTCGTTGCAGAATCTTTGGCTTAGTAGGCTGGAAAACAAAGGGTTAGAGATGTATTATGGGTTTAGGTGCCCAGGACAAAGATATGGTCAATAAGAGGTCAAGATCTAGATAAGTGAGTTAGAGCAGTAGACATAGGACAACAGGAGAAAGAATGGTTTTTAGTGATGAACAAAGATCTTTCAAACCAGTTCTTTATATACTTCCTGTTTAGAGGAAGAACTAGTTCCAAAACATGGATTTTGGGGAAATAAGTACAGGAGTTGTGAGGATGGAGAGTAAGGCATATACCTATAGTGGTCATGAATCAAAATGGTGAATTTCTAGGTGCAGTTCCTAATCGATATCTCCTTCTGTTGAGTTCTCTTGCTACTGTTAATATGGGCTTAACTTTTCATAGCCACTATCCTCAAGTTAAAAGAGAAGAGGGATCTCACTGCAGCTCAAGTGACTTAAAACAACACAAGTTTATTATCTTAACAATTCTGTAAAAGTCTAACATGAGTCTTACTGGGCTAAAATCAAGGTGTTGGCAGGGCTGCATTCCTTTCTGAATGTTCTAGGAGAGAATCTGTTTACTTGCCTTTTCCAGCTTCTAGAGGTTGCCCATATTCCTTGGCTCATGGCCTCCTTCCTCCATCTTCAAGGCTGTTAGTGTTGCATTTCTCTGACCATTCTTCCGTAGTCATATTTCCCTCTGATCACAGCTGGGGAAGGGTCTCTGCTTCTTAGGACCCATGTGATTATATTGGACTCAACTAGATAACCTAGAATAATCTCCCCATTGCCAAGTCCTTAATCACATCAGCGAAGTCCCTTTTACCTGATATGTAAGATAGCATATCACTGTAGAGGGTTTTGAGAGTACTGATTGTGCAAACCTTACAGATAAAACAAGAGTACAGTGTCCTAGATGTAATTCAGCTGGGTACAAGTTCTAATAATTAGACTCTTTCAAACATTCTCTCTTTTTACTTTTCCTTTCTCTTCTGCAGATCCCTCCTTCAGCTTCTCATCTTTGGGATTTTGATTCTTGTTGCTACTTTATCTTTGTTTCCAGGCTAATGTGAGCTCTCTTTGAGCCTCTGTTGATCTCGAAAGGAGAGAAAGAACATTTTTGGAGATTTATTTTGGTCTTAGGTTTCTTCTCTTTGGATTTGGGTCAGAACTGTTGTCCTTGTGGGCACCCGCTTCACCAGTTTGGCTGATTAGGTTCTTCCCTGAGCTTTTCCCCTGGATGAAGAATGGTTGATTGTTCTGTGTGCTTTCTCACTTATTCTGGGGGCCTGTTTTACCCTAGACTTTTTTGTTGTTGTGCTTTGTTGTGTCTTCTTGTTCTCAGGCTTCTTTGGGTGGACTTTTCACCTCCTTAATCCTCAGATCCTGTGTTGCCTCATTCTGTGTTCTTTGTATTTTTTTTTCCTGCTCTGCCAATTTCCCCAGAATTCCTCTTAAGTAGTTACAGTTCTGTCCCATACTCTCTGACCAAGTCTGGTTTTATCTCTCCCCAACACGAGTCACCACATCTTTTCCTAGCAACATATATATACAGTTAAGGCCAATTCCCATTTTATCTGGGAAGTCTTTTTGTTGTTTCCCTATGAATTGTAAAAAACTTAACGACCCTCAAATTTTCGTTTAAACCAGTCTGCCTCTAGCTGCCTTGCTGGGTATCCCTTCAGCTATCTTTTTAGGGCAGAGGTGTTTTTTTTTTAATTTGTAGAATAGGTGGTGTGGGTTCTGTCATATTCTTTTTATTTTTTATTTTTTATTTTATTTTTTTGAGGAAGATCAGCCCTGAGCTAACATCCATGCTAATCCTCCTCTTTTTTTGCTGAGGAAGACCGGCTCTGAGCTAACATCTATTGCCAATCCTCCTCCTTTTTTAAATTTTTTTTCCCCAAAGCCCCAGTAGATAGTTGTATGTCATAGTTGCATATCCTTCTAGTTGCTGTATGTGGGATGCGGCCTCAGCATGGCCAGAGAAGCAGTGCATCGGTGCGCTCCTGGGATCTGAACCCCGGCCGCCAGTAGGGGAGCGCGCGTACTTAACCGCTAAGCCACGGGGCCGGCCCCTGTCATATTCTTGTTTGCAGGAAATTTCTTTTGGTCTTGAGCTCTGCTTTATAGTTTTTCAAATTAAAAATTAAACTATAGATATGTCTTTGTCATGAGACTCTTTAAAACTTTATTGTGAAACATTTCAAATATAGAGAAAAGTTGAAAGAGTAAAACAGTGAATATACATATGACTCTTAGATTCAACAAATGTTCAACTTTCTCTCTCTCTATGTTCATACTTCTACTTTTTTGGTTGAACCATTGACAGTAAATTGCAGACATCATGATACTTCACCCTAAATACTTCAGCATGAATGTCCTGAATAAGAATATTGTCCAAATAGTCTCAATACTGTCATCACATCTAAGAAAATTAACAAGAATTTCATATCAGCTAATATTCAGTGTATATTCAGATTTCTCCAATTGTCCTAAGAATGTATTTCATAGCTGCTTTTTTTTTTTTTTTTTT